TGAGAGACAAATTGCAAGAAGGGCTGGTTTCCCTTCATCATGTTGGGACTGATAATCAACTGGCTGATGTTTTAACCAAAGCACTTACTGGAGTCAAGCATGCAACAGTGATGAGCAAGTTGGCTGTGACATCTTCACCTCCAACTTGAGGTGGGGGGAGGGGATATTGAGATAGTGTATTGTATTTATCATTATGTTAATAGTCAGTTAGGTGTGTATTAGCATAACTTTAGATGGTTAGTATTGGGTCCCACATGTAATATGTATATATACTCAGTTGAGTTTCTAATACAATTCAATCAGTTCATTTTCACACATAACCAACTCTTCTCTCTCCTCTGCTTTCCCTGTTCTCCTTCGAGAACCCTCCATGGTTCCACCATTGTAGCTCAAACTTGAGCCCTACTCCTCTAATGCTTTTACATCTTTACAAGGTTGCAGTGAGGAAACTATGAATTTCAGAAGCATGGATGAATTTTGGCTTTTCTACATGAACCAACGTATACACTCAAGACCAGCAACAAGGCGTTGGCATTTTAATTTGTGGGTACAGTACACCTTGCAGTATAATGCCCTTGGTATACAGAGTTTTGTTCAAAAACTGGTTTGTGATTTTTGTGCCACTTTTTGGTTATGGCTTTGCATGGTGTAGCCATTTTTATGTTGAAGGGAATGTTCCTGCAGCATTGAGACACCCTTTTTGGTGTCTGTTTTCTGAGTGAATGCTGATTATACGGCTGGAGTTTCACAAACACTCAATTGCCAAAAGCTCAAAATGTTCTTCCCTGCGCTTCTTATCAGCAGCCAACATTTAGTACAGAACTGCGCCTGAGCTAAGTTTTGCTGCAAAATGGCCCAGAACTTCATCTCGCTCGAGAATATACTTCTCCACCATATCTCTTGTTATAGTAGTAGGCCTGAAATGAAGTCATTCCTGCAGCAGTTTTAAACTCTATCAAACTCTATTTATACTTACTGGATCCATTACTGCCTTAGCTGACATGTACAGACCAATGTGAACCATGAATTTCGAAGATGGAACCAATACTTGGTTGGCTAATCCATTTGTAAAGTCAAATTTTGCACACTTTCTTCCACTAACAGCCCATTTGGCTAAGTGCTTTTATTTATAACTGCTTTTTGAAAAGGTATTTTTGGAGAGTACCAATTTGTATTTAGTCAATTCATTTTAAAAGTGCTTTTTGCAGCAAAATTGTACTATTTGATCAATCTCACCAAAAAGTACTTTTGAGTGTGAAATTACAAAAAAAGGAGGGTAATGTTTAGTTTAAAATTAATATTATTTAGAAGAGAAAATGAATCCAAATATTTATTATAAAAAATTCAACTGTTTTTTAATTTTTATTTAATTAAATATAAAACATAAAGTAAAAATATTTATTAAAGATTTTAATCATATAAAATATATAGTTATCCAAAGTAATAGTATTGGATATCTTGTATTGCTTACATTATTTATAGTGATCATTAAAATATATCAAAATACATCATTCGGTATAGCTTAAAAATCTAATCCATAAATCATTATATAAGAGAAGAGATCTATCCATATTAAGGACACTATTTCAAAGAGGAATAATAGAAGAGAATAAAATTACTATAAAAATATAAAAGAAAAGAAAGGGATGGTGGAAATATATTTTAAAAAAGGTAGTTTGAGAATTATAAATTTATGATAAAAATATTTTTTTCTTGAAAAAGTTAAAATTTGTAGGTTCTTTCCAAAAGTAAAAAGTATATATTTTTGCTGCTTCAAAAGTACTTTTTTTTTGGCCAACCACCTCAAATTTCTTTAAAATATGCTTCTTCTTTTTTTACCAAAAAAAGTATATTTGATCTCCCATAAGCTTCGCTTAACAGGCTTTAAAAAAGATATTTATATCTTGTGCAAACAATTATTCTCTCTCATTCCAAGACTTCAACCCAAAATCTTTAATTAATGATAAAAGGGTATTACAATCCAAGATTTTAAATGTCATGAGTGCGTGCCGAAATCTTTTTCAAAAAAATAAGAAACGTGAGTTTAGTTGTGAATGTTCACTCAATGTTTACCTAATTTTTGTTGATAATTACCTATGCAAATCTACTAAATTTGGTCAAAAACAATAAATGCTTAAACACCCATACTACTCCATATAGATCCGCCAAGGCGCCCACTAATATTTGATAGTGTGCTAGTCAGTTACCGTTAACTTGGGGAAAAATGAATTAAATCCTGTCCTTTTTGTTGGTAATTGGGTTATTACTTCCAGTTTTTTTTAGTTTTTTTTTTGGGCAGAATAGCCTAGGAGACCATTGTACTTATTCCGGTTTGTCATCTCGATCCTTGTAATCCACAAAGTTTTATACGGATACTTATAGTTATCAAAATATACTACTTTAAACCTCTCTGACCGTCGACCAAACATACGTGGCAACTTGAAGGCTGAGGTGGACAAAATGTGTGTATTTTATGCGCATAACAAGTGTGAGTATGAATATTAAAACGAAAAAATAATTAAAACATTAAGAAAGAATGTTTTAATATAAAAGAAAAAGACAAGAAAGATAGTAAGAAAGGAAAATTAGACAAAACCCAAAAATGAAAAACTCCAGTTCGCTGAATCCCTGTCGTTCTCCTCCTCATCGTCTGCCTCCCTCTCTCAAAAAGTAAATAAAGGATAAAAATCACTTAGATCTAAAAACACAGATATTCTGTTCTCAGAAAAAAAAAATTTTGGTCTTCCATAAACTAAATACCGCAATTCATTCATAATTGTTTCTTCCAAAACCATATCCAAATATACATGTATGTTTTCCATTAATTAAACCAAAATGCAAAAGCAAACTGCTCCAATCTGAATGCTTTTAGCATCTGGAACTTCGTTTTGGCAATCTATGAATATTCAACAATTTTCGTAAACTACACCATATCAAATGTTCAAACTTAGTTTCACCCAACTCCTTCGAGTAAAAAATGAAGCCTTAAATATCAATTGCTTTGAACCTTAAAATCGAATCTCTTGTGTCTAAATCATAAATTGCTCGAGTTTTAGTAATCTTTTGAAAGAGAAATCATTGGTGGAGGCTGGAGGGTGGCGGCGATGGGGGTTGGGTGCAAAAGAAAGAAATGAAAAAGATGATGACAAATCGGAATAAGTACAATGATCTCTTATGCTATTCAGTTTTTTTTTTAGTATTGCTTTACGCAAGAAAAGTATGGTTCTTTCCCATCCAAATTCCCTTTACAAAAGGTAACCTGATTATCTGTTACCTATTAAAAAAGTGCCTGACTTTTACATAATTTCCTTTCTATATCTAGTAATTCAAAAAAAATTCTTTACTAAAAAAAATGCAGGATATTTTACACAAGCTAGAGGAAATTTGTTCACACATAATGTTTGCATCAAATGAATACTACATTATATGTGTAACTATGGCTAATTAATGTGTATGTTTATTGGAATTTATACTCCATTATAATAATTAATGTATTTTGATATAAACACCATGTATGAAGAGTCATTTTTGGAATCAGAATATAATGGAAAAAGACAAAGGACCTAAACTTTTTTTTTCCACACAAAGAACTACAAATTGTGATTCAAATACAAGAGAATCCTCCCCAAACACACACACAAAAATTTTACAAGGAAAATGTTGACACGTTCAATTAATTTGAGATTTGAGTTGTAACTAATCTATGACATTACAATACAAAATGTGATTCCCATTAACCTATCATTGAGAAAATATGACAAGGATATTCAACTCAACCTCCCTTTTTTGTTTTTTCCCTTCCTATTTTTCTCTTTTCTAGAGCAAGGCGCCTAGTGATAGCCCAATTAGCAATTGCTAAAAAGTCAATCAACAATAGGACGAAATGGGACTGCCAAATGTTATAATCGGGATAAGATCACTCTATTCTTAATTAAAGATTTTGGATTCGAGTTTTCTATATGTGTTTACCTTGAAAACGGTATTTATAATTATAGTTGATTTGTGATTCTAAAAATATGTAATTTATCTTAATACTAGTTGTTAGGTGAATGATGCTAAGCATAAATGAGCAAGAAATGATAGACAAACCAATGTGGTTATAAGGCGGAGGGCCTCGGGCTCTGCGATGTGGGACCTCGAGGGCAGCCTTTAATAGGTTGATGATGAACAATAAATGAAGAACAATATATGAACAAATGATGAACAATAAATGAACGCAATAAAGTTATAGAGTAATTGTTGAGCAAGTTTTAGCAAGAAGAGCAGAGAATGTGGTATATTATTCAACAGTGTGTATTCGATAATGATCCGACCCCCCCCCCCCC